ATCCCCGTTTTCACAGGTGTCACGCGTGACACTCGGAGAACGAAGTCTCCGACGGTAACTCGGCTTTTATTCCGCCGACAAAGACTGATCTGCATGCCTCGAACAGCTAGCTTGTGCAGTGGAATGAGTATTTTGTTGGAGTATTGCTTTTGGGTTTGCTGAGAGTTGGGGAGTGTTTGCTGGGAGATGGGAGAAGTATTATGGGGTAATGTGGAGTATTGATATTGTGGGAATCGAATAAGCATTTATTAAAGTATTGTCTTTGGGGGGTGGTTCGCTGAGAGTTGGGGTAGTATCTGCTGGGAGATTAGTGGGAGGTTTACGAAATAATATGCAAGTAATAGTATTGATACTACATTCTGTATTGAATGAACATTTGTTTAGAATATTGTCTCTGGGGAATATTCTGCTGCTGAGAATTGGAAGAAGCTCGTTTGCTGGGAAATTGATAAAAGCATTATAAACTAATAAGAAACACTGACATTGCATTGGGTATTGAATCAACACTTGTTTACATTATTATTGCTGAGGAATATTTTGCTGCTGGGAATTAGACTAAGTGTTTGCTGGGAGATTGGTGGAACGTCTACAAACTAATATGGAAGTAATTATATTAATATTGCATTGGGTATTGAATAAACATTTCTTCAAATTATTGTTCCTAGCGTTGCTCTACTGCTGAGAATTGGATTAAGTGCTTGCTGAGAGATCAGTAAAAAGCTTACGTATCCAAAGATGTCACTTAGAAGCACGAGGCAAAATAAACCCTTCTTCATCACCTTACCAGTCCCATAAAAATTCTCAAAACGTCCAACCGAGAAAACGTAAAATCCCCTAAAAACAAAATGTCGATACCGTGACAGGTGGGTAACGAGAAAACTCTATCTGATGTCTCGGCCAGGCAGACCTCGCCAAATAATAATAATATACCGCTCTTTAATATTCGCCGGCGTCCTCGCGCGTCTAACCCCTGTTCCTCCCCATCTTTTCGGGGATTTCTTCATGCAAGAGCGTCGTCTGTACCGATTCTGACGCTTTAATCTCAAGTATCCAGATGGGATCCACGATTT